CGGTCTGTGATCGCGCGGGACCGCAGAGTTGTTTACGAAGAGAGGGCGCGGGAAGGGTGATATAAAAGGTACATAGAGAGTTGACTAGTGTTCTGTTTCCGTTCGGACATTGCGTCTGCTGGGAGTCGTCCGACTCCTGATCTATCAGTTCACCTTCCCCCTCCCCAACTTGCTTGCCTGTGTGGCACCAAACCAAGCCTGTGTGGCTCCTACCCGCCTGTGTGGACCTTGTATCTGTGTGATCCCGACATTCGGCCTTCCGCAGCTCATCTCGTCCGTGACAGTCCCTACGCTCACTGGAAACCGCTCCGACCTTCAACTCAATTCATCTGATCCGTCTTTTCTAATTTGTTTTGTTTATTCCGTTCATTCGCATTGAGATTGTTGCGTTTTTGAGTTAATAAATTGTGTGGTTTTTCTGTGTAATCCTTGCAACTGAACGGTACTGATCCGGAATCAGATACTTCATACTATTTTACTTGCTTTTCGGCCTTACATGGGGGCCGAACCGGTTGTCTGATTCTGGCCCAGCACATTTCACGCTTGCAAGGATTTTTGTTGGATACCGGGCCCAAGCAAGAAAGCCCGAGGAAGTTTTGAGAGGCAACCCATAGTGGGAGGATTGCTGATCGATTGTGGAGGCTCTGCCCAGTGTTTTGATTCCGAGAAAAGGCGCCTCGGATATCGATTGATTTTAGAAAAGCTATCGTGGGCATCGACCTTTCGTTTGGATTGCTGCCAGTAGGCGCCTAAATCTTCGATTGAATCGTTGTTGTGCCGTATTTCACGTTCGCAATAGATTTTCTCAGTGAACGGTGCCGGAAGACACTTACTCCTTTCGATTTCAGAATGAACGAGGACGGTGATGAGAACGCCTCAATGTTGAGGGATGAAAACGCTCAACCCCACGTGGTAAGTAATTATGAATTGAGCGAGGGAGAGAAAGAGTGGGAGGAGATAGCCCGGACGCTCAATGAAAGGCATCGCAAAATTACAGCTATTGTGGGAAGTTCAAAGGCTTCGAAACAAGCCGGGCTAGAGTTAGAAACAGAATGGACCTAAAATGGAAGAGGAATTAGGCAGACTTCATAGGAAGTATAGGAGTAATCCATCTCGGGCTGGTACCTTAGTGAGGTGTGTGATGGGGACTCTAGCTGAAAGAGGGATTGAGACTGAAGAAGACTGGAAAGAATATGTGGCCACTATGGAGCGTGATGGAGAGATAATAGCTGCTTCTGTGTGAAATGCTAAATGTTAATACATTACAGATCAAGGAATACGTTGCGAGCCTTTTGAAGAATGGCGAAGAAAACAAGGCCCCTGGTATGTCTTTTGGTATAGATCCTGTTGATTATGACCATGCAAGACGATATAACGAATCGTTACAGGGGAACCGCTGTCCGACTGGAGCGACATATGTGGACAATTGGAGCTTGCCCTCGAGCGTGACGGTGGCAATGAGAGAGGACACAGGTATGGATGTTAATACGCATCTTGTTAACTACCTCAGGGCCATGACGTGCGCCGACCCAGGTATTTTTAAGGGGGCGAAAAATGAAAACTTTCAAAGAATTTATTAGAAAATTTAAGAGAAGGTACGAAAAGGTTATTAAGTGTGAGGCCACACTTATAGATATTTTAGCAGATGACCACCTTGGGGGACGCGCAAAGAATGTGTTTATGTCCCTACCGCGCGTAATCAGAGAGCAAGGGTTTGAGGCGGTGACCAGCGAAATGGCAAAACTATTGGCATGTGATTCAACGGCAAGTAGGATGAGGGCCTTGACAGAGTTGAGGAACTTGAGGATCCGGCCCGGTCAGGACGTTGCTGAATTCTGTGTGGTGCTAGAGAAGTTAGGGAGACAGGCAAACCCTGAGAGCTCGTTGGAGGACCGATCCATGGAGTACGCCCAGATACTCCTGGATAATCTGAGCAGCTGGCCCGAGCATTTCCAGTTGGTGGGTGCTCTGCACAAAGTGGAACCGCGAAGAGCGTACGATGAGTTGAAAAGTCTGGCTCTGAGCATCGAGCAGTCAAAGTTGATTCTGGCTGCACAGAGGAAGGATCCCCTGCCGGCGTGGAGAACAAGGTCTGCTCAGTATCTGGGAAATAGGGATGCAAGAGTGGCCAACGCGGGGACAGCGACGGAGGAAAGGAACATAAGTAGGGAGGTTCGTCAAAAAGGGCTGTCTGGTGATACAAGCAGAACAGGTGGGACAACTCGACGAGAGTTGCAGGAACCCATGAGCCGATCACTCACGGAGAGTAGGAAATGCTATAGGTGCTCCAAATACGGGCATGTGGCAAGAGATTGTCCACTGCGTGCGGCTAGGGTGAATACTATTGAGCCCAAGGATATGGCACCCTCCCAGAAGGATGAGACGCTTGCGTCTATCGTCAGTCGTGCCAGATGCATGGGGTTGGCAGTGAAAGCATCGTCAGCAAATGATTTGATTGGAAATCGGGTTACGGTGCCCCTTAACATACTGGGTGAGAAGTGTCAGGCATTGATCGACACGGGATCAATGATAAGCATTGTCCCAGTGAAAATATTGGCGGAAATTCAAGACAAAGGTTTTGACCTGGATTCCTTGGTAATGGTGCCTAGGACCAAGCTCAAGCCAGTCTTTGATGCATCAGACAATAGGATGGATTTTCTTGCGGGTGTTTATATACAAGTCAAGTTGGAGCAAGGAACGACTCAGGAGGTGGCGTTCCATATTAGTCCAAAGAAAGAAAGTGATATAATACTGGGGACCAATGCGCTGCCTCGATTAGGAATAAGCATTTCCATTGAAAAAGAGAGAGATAGCTTACGCAAATGAAGAAGCAAAGGGAAACAAGGTTATGGTTGCGGAAAGGCGCTACATACCGCCCGGAGACACGGCGTTGGTAGAGGTGGTATGTCAGGGTGAGAGAAATGGTGAAGTAGAAAGAGTGATATGGCCATGCAAGCAAGGCGTAGCTGCGGGAGTATTCACCATTAGGGACCAAAGAGCATCGCTTCCCGTATTTAACAAGAGTTCCAAACCCATTCTCTTCAAAGAGGGTGAAGATGTCGGATATTGGGGTACGGACAAGTGGCTGGAACGATGGGAAGATGTGAACCCACTAATGGTTGGCGAGAAAGACATTAAGCTCACGGCGTCTGAGAGGGAGAGTCTGTTGGAAGAATTAATTGCCAGTAACATGGAATCAGGGAGTATAGACGAAGACCTGCGGAAGTTGTTGAGAGAGTATGCAGGAGCATTCGCTGTGTCGGACAAGGAACTTGGTCAAACAGATTTGGTTCACATGACTATAGATACGGGAGACACCCCCCAATAAAAATGAAAGCAAGACCGGTCCCACTAGGAATAAGACCCAAGTTGAGAGAGTTGTTGGTGGACTTGATGAAAAGGAACGTGATAGAGCCTAGTAAATCGGATTGGGCATTCCCGATTGTCCTGGTAGAAAAAAAAGACGGCAGTATCCGGTTATGTGTTGATTATAGAGAGCTAAATAAGAAGATAAAGTTGGACGCGTATCCGCTTCCGAATATAGAGGCAGTCTTGCAGAGTCTCTCAGGAAAGCGGTATTTCTCGACATTGGATTTATGCAGTGGGTATTGGCAAATCCCATTGACAGAAGAAGCGCGGGAGAAGTCAGCCTTCGCGACGCCGGAGGGGTTGTTCCAATTCAGAGTAACACCGTTCGGGTTGAGTACGAGCCCCCCAGTGTTTCAGCGGTTGATGGATTCGGTCTTGGGAGATCTGTTAGGTGCAGAGGTGTTCTGCTATATCGACGATATAATGATCTCGACGACCACAAAGGAGCGGCATTTGGAGCTGTTAGGACAAGTGTTCTCACGGATGAAAGAGGCAGGGCTTCGACTAAAGGCTCAGAAGTGTCATCTGCTGAAGGGGAAGGTGTCGTTTCTAGGCCATATTGTGGATGAGGAAGGGGTCCATATGGATCCAGACAAGGTATCAGCGATTCGCGACTATCCCACTCCTAAAGGCGTGAAAGAGCTCAGAACGTTCCTTGGCATGGCATCCTTTTACAGAAAATTTTGCTTGGGGTTTTCTAAGCAAGCAGGATGCCTTTTCAACCTGACTTCGTCTAAAGCGAAATGGACATGGCAAAAGGAGCATGAGGTGGCGTTTCAGAAAATGAAAGATCTAATAAGTACGGCCCCAGTACTCAAACAGCCGGATATTGAAGCGGCGCGAACGGGGAGTAGGCCATTCATCATTTGTACAGACGCGTCGACGCACGGGTTAGGGGCAGTATTGTCGCAAGAGGGAGAGGACAAGATGGTCCACCCTATATTTTTCGCATCCAAAAGCCTAAGCAAGGCAGAACGAAAATATCACATAACGGATCTCGAGGCGCTCGCCGTGGTATTTGCCGTTAGGAGATTCCACATGTTTATTTACGGCCTCCCACCATCATAATCACGGATCATCAGCCTCTCACTGCATTGTTTAAGCGCAGTAATGTATCGGCTAGGGTGCTGAGATGGTCCCTGGAGTTACAGAGGTACAGGCTGGAAATTCAGTATGTAAGGGGAAAAGCAAATGTAGTCGCCGATGCCCTCAGTAGGGGAGTACCTACATCTGTAGGACCAGACGCCCTTCCTGGTGTGAATGAGGCGGTGGTGAACATGGTGAGTACCAAACAAGACTCGAAATGGTTAGCGAAGTTGAGAGAAGATACGCAACTAGGCGAAGTTGTGCGGTTAGTAGAGGAAGAGAAGTGGGATGAAGTGGTGCGGCTCGCAGGTGAAAAACAACCAATGAGGATAGCCGACTTTGTGTTGGAAGAGGGAGAGCTGAAATTATACCGAGATGACGGCAGGCTGGTCTACGTGGTTCCCAAGGCGTATAGGTACGAAGTGTTCCATGAGGCGCATGAAGGACTGTTTGCGGGCCATTTTAGTGCGCAAAAAC